TCTGCTTCATCCTTAGTTTCAAAAAGGTATACTTGAACAAAATATGTATTCACAAACACAATGAAATAATTTTTCTTGTCAAATGTAGGTGGGTTGATTTTACCACACAGATCAGTATGTATTATTTACAATGGTCTTTGAGCTCTCTGTCAAATTGTATCAAACAGATTGCTTGTAAGTTTGGCAACTATAAAGGTTTCACATACAGAATTAGTTTTCCTCTTCATAAAATCAAGTGGTATACCTGTACACAAAATTAGCAATATCTTCAGATTCACAAAACTAATATGACCCAATCTTTGAAGCCATTTAATATATTCCTCATCATGTTGAGTAAACAAGGATTCTTCTTCATGTTGACGGCTCATATCAACAACAAATAGTCCACTAGCAGTTTTATGTCCTTCAAGAACAATTTTGTTATCTTTCAATATCAACACTTCAGTATTATTAAATCATACTTCCCCATCATTTTCTGACAAGTTTCTTGTGAGGTCAGAAACATAGGACACATTCTTCTGTTTCAATATTACCAGATAATTTTAGTCATAGTTTCACCAATCTTTGTACTGAAGATTTGCACTCCACTGGCACATTTTGTGGTTTGTGTTGGTTAATTTTTTTTGCCTATTTGACATGTGTGATATACAACCACTGTTCATAACAAAAGTATTATCTTTTAGTTTTTCACCAAACAACACTTTACTCAAGTATGATGAATTTTCTTCTTTGTTATTAGATTGGAAAGCACATCGATCCATTTCTGCAAAAAGGCAACTCTTTTCTTTCTTTCATGTTGCTCCATAAAGTAATAGTTTTCAGAGGAGTGATTTGATTTTTTGCAATAACTACAGGAAGGGAACTGCTTGTTGTTTTGATTTTTGTTTTCAAAGCACTCATTGTTATTGTGATTATCCTTTTGACAAGAGTTACGTTATTTCTTCTTTAAGCACTTTGATTTTATATGACCTACCTCACCACTCATAGCACACAATGTTTGACATTGGTTTGGAATTTTTGGGATTTAGATTGGATTTGAAGTCGTCTTTATAGCAAAAAAAAGCAGCATTTGGCTCTTCCTTATTACTTTACTGCTTATTTGCTTCCTTACTACTTATTTGTACTCTTCTTCGACGCAGTCTTGCCACAAGATTTTCAATGATCTTATCTAAAGTGGGATTCCCATGCACTGAAAAAATATCTATATTGTTCTGGTAAGGAGTAAATAATTTTTACCATAACCATTCCATCAGATATATTTTGTTTAAATTGTTTTAGTTTGAAAAAAATATTTTGAAGATTACTAATGATCATTATTTCTTAGGTTTTATCAAACTTGAACCCATGGAAGTCCATCACCAACTGTTGTTTAAGATGAGTGGAATCTCTTCTGTGTATTGCTTTCAGGGTGTCATGCATTTCTTCTCAAGTGCCACATATCAAGTTATGATTTTATAACATTTTATCAATGGTTGCCTTGGCATCCTCAGTATGCCACGTTTTTTGTTTATGTTCATCACTGGCACACTCACCCAGCAGTTTAGCATCAGACACAACTTCCCATACCTGCTTTGCTTTGCTCAAAATCTGTAGCTTTAACTCCAAAGCTGGAAGGAGTCGGAATTCGTAAGTTTTGTTGTCACATTGTTCAATTCAGTATCTCCTGATGTCATGATTCTTCGTGTTCTGGAACCACTTGTAGCAAATTCTTAATATTCGTTTCTTAATATATTTTAAATAGTATTTCCAGAAGCATTTGGTGCTGTCTGGGCCCATAACCTTTTTTGAAATTAAGGTTTTCTATTATCTGGGTGCACAATATTATAAAGACAACACCATTTTTAAACACGTTTTACACACAATGAAAAAGCCGTGTATAACTTTATTGCTTGCTAGTACCAACATACAAGATCTAGCAAAAAACAAAAGGGTACAATCGGTACCAACTTTAAACATTTGCATTTTAATGTTTGTTCATTTCAACAATTTTTATGCCATCATGAGAACTATTTAACAATTCTGTTATAATTAGAAAATCTTTTTAGTATTCCCACTTTAATTTATTTTTGGTTATTGCCATTAGGTACATTGTGTAAGTTGATTTTAATATTAACCCGTACTTACTATTTTAAAATGAATACATAATTATTAAGTGAAGCTTTCAAATAGTGTACATAATGTATTCTTACAGGAAAAATTGTTTCCGGGTACAGAGTGCGTAAAGGTGAAAATGGAAAAGATAACTGGGTTCTTCTTGGCAAAAGAAACCCTTTGACTCCTCAAATGTTCTATCCTGTTTTTAACAAAGAACCCATTGTGTATGGAGATAGACTGGTGAGTCTCCAAGTATCAAGCTTTCAACTATCTTTTCACAAAAATAAAAAACAAACTAAGCAAGTTAATGAAAGTATTACACACGTAAAGATATATTCATTATGAACAATTTTGTTTCAGGCTGCACGTTGCACTATGAAAAGCACAAGAGATCGATATACTGAAATTGGTCCCACAAACAATGATGAAATGTGCAATTTCTATTTGATGTATTGGGTTGAAAATGATACACCTCTCAAGAAAAAATATTGCTTTAGTTTGGGACCACCAAACTACTACTGGGAAACTGCTCATGAATTCAATTACATTCCTGATGAAGAAGCAAGCTCTTTGAATGCATAAAAAATGTACTTAAACTACTTGAAATAAAGTGATACATTTTGCTCTTTTTGGTTAAAAGATGTAACATATTTGACCACAAAGGTACAGACTACAGAGCATTATTGACGAGCAAATATTGGAAAACTATAAAATATAGACGGGCAGAATAAAGGATATGCTTCCATGTAAAGTACGGGTATGGAGCAACTGGAATGTTATTTAGAAGATAAGTTGCATTCATATTTCAAATATAGTTTGTTGAGGAAGTAAATGTCTGTTGATTTTAGGCCTAGCAATTCACTGAAAAGTGGCAGTGTTTCATGTAATTGTTGGTACTGCAGGGCAGTGCTGACATCAGTGGCGGATTTAGTCTGAGTTTCTTGTGTTACAGGATCGGTAGCAGCTATCATTTTAATTAAATTCAGAAGCAAAAAAAAAGTGTTCACATTTAACAATCAGTTACATCAATAGTCCAGAGTTATGTAATGTTTCTTAAATAGGAAATCAAAGTATCCATTAGTTTACCTCAAACCTTTTTCTATCCTAATGATAGATATTCTGCAGCAACTCCTCGTAACATCTAGTACCTCGCAGAGGGGTGTGAGAGAGTGTCTGCTTTTTAGTTTCTGAAACATTTTGGGGCAGCTCACAGTTCAGAGGTCCTGTACCGCTTCCTAGGCCCACTACACCTGTCTCTGATGAAAGCTAAGTATTTTTTAGAGAGCTCATGGCACAATGACAAATAGTATTTATTTTAATATTATTTATATCACAATTATGCATGAGTTTACACTGATTCTTCTATATTTTTTGATTGCACAAGGAAAGATTAAGAGTCTACAATAAACACTATTGTAAATGAACTCTTTTAACCAAGATGAAATGTGGTTAAATCTTATATTAAGAATATACCACAATGTGGATAGCAATGTACAGATTTGCCAACATGGCAATTCTTAGCATATCCTTTTACATATTTCAGTATATATTCCCATGTTTTCAGAACTGTTAAGACTTATTTTGTAACAAAAGTATAATGTACAGATATTTCTTTCTGGAATTATGTTTATTTGGTTGTACATTGAAAAACACAGACTGATGTAGTATCTTTGATTTTTTATTCTTATTTTCACACAAGTCATTTTATAGAGCAGCATATCTGGTTCTAATACTTGTAATTAAATTTATAAATTCAGTACAGTAACAATTTTCTCTTTGTCTTGAATAAATGTTAAAAATAAATATCAGATAAAAGAAACAACAACAATAACTAAGTAGAATATACATAAAGAGAATATTCTGTCAGAAATATAATTATATGTACACAGGAGATAATATAACTTTCTAAAAAAAAGCTTTCCAAAGAAGAACTTTTATGAAAATGTACAAATAAATGTCTGCAAAATCTGATTGTACTTAGAGGAAGGTTGTGAGCTTAAGTCATTGATTTAATGGAATGCTTTAATTTAATGAAACTTAATTTATTGTAAATGAATCTTGAATGTAATACCGAACATTCAAAATCCATGTATAAAAATAAAACACTATTTTCATGATATTTACAACATAAAATTAAATATTGAGAGTTATGCAGAATTTCCTGCCAAATTATAGATTGTGTATTATTCCATTAGACATGGTACCATGCATTCAGTAAGAAGAATTAATCTTCACAAGAAACTGGGTCCAGTTGGTACCGGTATTACTATTCCTATTGTAACATCAAAGTTTGTAAGGCTGTGGTGAGTTAGATCCATTTATGTAGTATTTAGAATCGGTGTATGTTCTGCAATACATGGATGATCGTGAAATGTGCTAATACTTTCCATTCATGTTCAGCATCAAGAAAATCAATAGAAATACATTTGACCTAATCTTTGTCAATTACATTAGTAGATCCATAATATAACTTTGTACAGATTTTTCCATTTCCTGTTGTAGAGTTACTATTTTCATAAAATTATGATTAATCTTTAACAACAATGGCAATTGTGAGTTTCAATTTTCACAACTATAACTTCTGTAATAAATAAATACAGAATATTTATTTACAATACTTAGTTTTCAAATTGTATCATTTAATAGATGTTTGATACAAAATTGTATTTATGCCATTTCATTTATTCTTGTGACTTAAACGTGATATCAATATATTTTTTCTCCTTTTTCAAATATTTTAGCTCAATCACCAAAAACAGTTTCTTCACCAAGCCATTGAAAGCTGGTGGTCTTCAACCCAAAAAAATGTACATCATAGCCAGTTCTATTTGAAAAGAAATGTTTATCAATAATTCATTACATTTTTTTTATTTCCAATTTGATTGCAAGATAATTAATTGTACTCTGCTCAATTCTACCCCAAAATAAATGCTACGAATGCACTAATTATATACAACATTTTATAGAAATTGCGTTTGACATCTTCCAAAAACAATATTGCTTCTATAATAAACTTGCTGAAAATATTTCACGTGGTATAAAATTCTCAACAAACATTTGAATGAACTTGCCATTTACTTCACAGTTGTCAATACTCTGATATTCATTATTAGTTTATTTATATCATTCCTTTTACTGATTCATGCATGGTTTCCAAAATTAAATGGTATATACTTAAAATGTCAGGGCACACTTTTCCCAGGTGTAGTACTTAGTATACATTTGCTCAACTCAGTTTGCATATAACGAGCATTGAGCAATGTTTTCCTACATCCATACATTCCTCAGTCTTTTAGAAAATATTTCTCTTTGTGACTACAATCAATGATGTATTGAAAAATGTGTATTTTATGCTAACAATAAATTCAAAATTATTTTTTGAATGTCAACTACATTTGTGTTTGAAAAATATTATTTCCTAATTCCTTATATTGAATGTTCTTATCCTTAGTGTATATATTTAACAAGAAAATGTATTCAAACTCACTTCCCCTGCTGGCTGGCGATATCAGGCGCCGACCTACCGTCGGTCAGCGGGGTTTCCCCCAATCGGGTATCTCCCTGTAGCATGGCACAGCTCCAATCAGGACACAATCTTCGCTACCCTCTGTTCTCCCGTCAAGTGCAGTAGTGTAGTGCATGTTAGTGTGTGTGTGTAAAGGGTGAGAATAGGACAAGGAAGAGGTAGGAAAGATTGCGTGCAGTTCATGACTGAGCTCAATTGTCTAAATTGTCTATTCGGACTGTTGGTAATTAACTTATATGGTTTAAAGTTATGAACTTGGCCAGGATTTTAGGTTCTACATCATTTGATGTAGGATACAATGTCACTGATCCAAGCAGGTGCAGGCTCCTGCCGCGAGGACTCACAGACGGGTGGTCCCAATCGGGGGAAAAATTGATTCCATATTGATATTCTATTGCTAAATCATTTATTCTGGATTTGATAGATGCTTAAGGTGCTGCAGTAGAAGTACGTGAACAAATAGAAAAAAACCTGCCTCCTACACCTCACCATTTCAAGATTTAAACATTGAATGTACTTATTTTGTTAAATTATATGTAGTTGCTACCATCATTGACATCATGTACTATTTTATTATAATAAGTAGTAGTAGTAGTAAAATGACAATAACAAGTAAATTTTACTTTAACTTTAACGCGAGACAATAGGCCTTATCCCATCAATGTTAAAAGAAGCAAATTTCTGACATATTTTCTCAGGAACTACTGAATAAATTTTAATGGTTTTTCTACAACTTATTAAGTGATGCATAAAAAGATTACTAGTTTTCAGTTAAGTTTGTATTTCTATTCTGAAGCGATTTATAATTTTTTTTCTAAAGCACTATTTTTCTCAAAATAAATTTGCAAAAAATCCTAACTCATGGTCAAGAGAAGTAATAATAATGATTGAGGATCCACATTCTTAGTACAACATTGTTTACCATCACTGAAAATTTCATGCAGATGTCATAAATAGTTTTTGAGATAATGGGGTAAACATTTGAAAATTTTAACTCCTGAGAAAATGGCACTCCAAGTTTTCACAGAAGCATATGTTAGCATAATTAAAGAATATTTTTCATTAGAGAGTACTAAAGGCTGCCTATGTCATAATAACAGATTTTACTGTCTTTTAGATCAGCTCAAGTTTTTTCTTCTCATCTTTCATGCCTCCTTTGACATTTGGGGATCACTATACTCTGCCTTTGCAAAACATAATCTGTCAAGTTCTCTACAAATGTCAGCATGGTTTTTCCTAGGTGACACAAACAATTTTTTCAGCACTTATCATGTGCACAATTTCCATCCTTCTATATTGCAACAACTTCAGACACTCGTAATTGTAAAGTTTTGAGACCAACAAAACTTTCGCGCCAGTGAAGATTTGTTTGGTAACAATGACGTCCAGCAATGTTGCTTACGAATGGTAACTGTAACCCACCAAACTTAAAAGAGGGCACCTTCGTCGCTGTAACCATTTCTTTCCAACTATCTCCGCCACATGCCCGCAACTGTGATTCTGGTTGGGATATATTTACAAGTGTTTCCGTTGGTCACAATTTCATCAATCAGGTATACTATAGCTGTTATTTTCTTTCCGTACGTGCATGGCCATATTAAAAGATGTCTCTGATGAACCAATTTCAGTAAGTAAAAAACATCTCTTCAATATTGTAATTTAAGAAGCCAAACATTTTTGAACTTTTTCAATTTTTGAAAAATTTAAATTCATGAAATATGAGACCTGTAAAATTTTGAAAATGTTAAGGCTTCATAGAAAGTATCCCCCAAAATAAAAAAATCACTTTCACTCGCAGGGCTATTTTGATGAAGAAATATCAATTTTATAGAAAATCACCTGCACGGTTTAGGCACTGGTGTTGTCCATGGATAAATTGATATCCATTTTGCTGTCAACAAATTTTTCAGGACACTTTAGAAGTTAACAAACCCTGAGATATGCAGGAGGGGGGTTTAATTTAAGAAACCAAGAGTTAAATTGTACAACAGAGCAATTTATTTGCAAATACAACAAATACTTTTTGGTAAAAAAAAAAAAAGCACCCTATAAATTTCAACTCATTAATTTACCTTTCTTTTACGTAATTCCCATGCATGCTGTAATGCCCATATACTTAAAGGGCGCATGTATCCAATAGCACGGTACCACTTCTCAGCATACAAAGCTTCTGGAGTTTCAAAACCCATGCCAATAATGTTGTAGACAACATTATAAACTCCATGCGCAGTTTTGAAAGCCTCCTCTACCATGCCCTAATATCACAAATTCTTAATCAGAAAACAAGTATATTAACACAAATAATCCCAATTGTAATAATAGTACTTGTAGTAGAAGTAGTAGTAGTAGTAGTAATAATAATAATAATAATAATAATAATAATAATAATAATGATAATAATAATAATAATAATAATAATTTTTTCATGAGCAGAAACTTACTTTACATAAAAATTCTTTATAGGACGTTGGATTTACAACAATTAAACACAAATTACCACAGATAAAATGTTTGTACATACATAACTAATAATCTACAACAATTAAATCCCCAAAACAAAATAGTTTACACTCATTAAGAATATTATAAATGAATATCCTTCACAATAACCTCTTCACCTGTCATTCTAATAAACTACTTATCTAATCACAGACATCAAACAAGTTACATTTATTCACCATCCTTGTGATTAAATGCAATGGGTTTCTCAATTTAAACTTTTTACAGTCACATTTAGATTTCTTTCATTCTAACCTTGGATCTGTCAATATTGAAAAGAGGAACTATTTCACCAATCGATAGCATGAATGGAAAACTGTTATAAAGGGATATGATCACTCAATTTGTTAGCCGATTACTGCTAGAACATAATATCAGAATCTGAACAATCAGGCTAGAAGCGAAGATCTCTCAAAACACTAGAGGTACCACAGAATGGCACACTCTTTCTTGAACTAATTTTCTCATTTTTTTGGTCTGGACATACTTTTTGGCCTTGTCCCAACCTCATGCCAGCTGACACATAATGCCACCCAAACATTCTTTTAAAAATATTTTTAAAATTGTCATTTTTCTAATGGTAAAGCCGAAATATTGCTTCAAGAGTATTAAAGAGTAAAAACATGTTCTGTACTCCAAGAAAAGTGAGACCTGCATCATTCTTCCAGCACCAAGTTTAATAAAAAAATTGGAGCCATGTTTTGAGAAACATTTGAAAATGTAATTGCGCATCATGTCCCAAAATATCAGGTTCAAACTCATAATGCCTTTAGCCCATCTAAATCGATTGACCAATACCACTTTCGGAAAATCAGCTGAACGGTTTAGGCACTAATATTGACTACAGATATACACTTAAAAATACAAATAAATGAATATCATTGTTAATAAATAGTAATAATCCAGGAAACAGAAAACGGACAAAACGGATCCTGAGGAGATTTATGTGAGAATAGAAGAATAACATATCTTGCTGACTGAAATAGTGGCAGAACTCAAAAATCAAGTTTTAAGATCATTGAGTTTGAAGTTTTCACCTTGCATTGAAATGCATCATTTGTGCAGTCACTTCTGGCAAGTGAGAGCGTAGGCTTCCGCAGCCAGAGTCAGTGGCTGTCCGGGTGACGCCGCGACCATGGCAAAGGTGCCAACGTTTCGGTCGCCATTCTGCGACCGACCGAATGACATGGCGACCGAAACGTCGGCACCTTTGCCATGGACGCGGCGTCACCCGGACAGCCAATTAAATACACTTTTGCCATTTTTTCGTAAAATACTGTTCTGTAAGACGTGTTGCTGTTGCTGCTGGAAGGTAGACCAACCTGCAATTCTAGATGGTGAAATAGCTCACAATTCGAGTTGTGTCACTATTGCATTCAGCAAGAGATACACACGCCCAATTATTTTTTAATGTATTTGCATAAAATGCGCCGGTAATTATGCGTCGGACAGACTCAAGGATGCATTACGTTAACGCGAGGACCGAAGACCTGAGCCTCGCCCTCAACTTGGACACGCGAGGCGAAGCGTCACAATTCCGTGGGAAAACTGATTCAAACGCCCAACCAATGTGAATGACTTGTCTCGAGCGATCGCTCGACTCCGCTCGGCTGTCTTTGGATATGTTCGTGGCTCCGCATTTTGAACGTATCGCAAGGAGGTATGAAGTGAAACGTGTTTAACTACAAGTGAAATTATCGAACCATGCAGTAAATTACACGATATGCATCGACTTGCGGTGGGATGAGAGAGAAAGGTCTCTCTCGGGCTTCCGCCAGCCGTCGGACTGCGCAGTTTGCCAACTTCTGCCCTCGACTCATCGAGTCGCCCCGACTCGAATGGGTTGGTTTAGGCGTTTCCTCTTGCGACCACAGAAGCAGTAAGGGTTATGGGCGACTAACTCGCGTCAGAAGAAAAAGCTGGGAGTTCCTCCGGAGAGCGATTTCGATCATTTGCTTCGCTTCAACTCGGACAAACTGAATTCCTCATAGCTAGCAACTTAAAAACCATGCACTTTCACCCAAAACATCAAAGCAATAACTTTTTGTTAATTGGGTTCAAATGAAGATACATGAGAAAAATAAATGAAGATTCCCTTCCCTCCCCGAGTCGTAATAAATAACCCTGCCACTGGTTTTAATAAATTAATACCAGGACAACAGTAGGTAATAAACTAGTATTAAATAAATAAACACTGATTTACCTCGTGCATCATCAAGGCCGCAAGGCCATACACAACTCCTGTCCAGACTTCTTCACTTTGCACTGAGACCACATCTACTTTCCCATCAGGTTTCATTCCATTCACAGCTCCAATAGTACCATTTTTAAATTTCATTACATTGAAATCAAATATTTTCTTTAAGGCACTCTTCACATGTGTATCAATAAATACCTTACATTCAAATTGAAAAAAATTAATGCAACAAACATGCAAACTAATGATCAAAGTAAAGAATCAATTCTCACTTCATTTTGGACTCCACTAGCTCGTAAGTACCACAAACCACATAGTTGATCAGCCATAATTGTGTGAGCTCCTGGATTTGATGCGCTGTCAAAATTATAATACTCACCTAAAACAAACAAGAGGTCATGTAGATTTCCTAGATTCAGGAGTAACGTACAGAAGAGAAAGTGACAGTACTGTCTAGTGCACTGGATGAACCTCAGTGTAGTGGTAGATTCACACTAAAATATATTTCACAAAACAGAGAGTAAGGAATGCTCAAAAATTAATATTTTCCCATTATTTTTGGACTTTCTTTCAAGATATATTACTATTTACAATTGTTATTTTAATGTATAAATACATTAAAATATAAATGATAAACTTATCTTGAAATAAAAATTATGCACTAACTACTGTCACTTTGATATAACAAACTAACAGTTAATAATAATAATTAATAATAATAATAATAATAATAATAATAATTTTCTCAAAAACACACAATAACAAGACCACTGTCCAAAAGGATATAATAAGTTCATTTTAAATTTCAATATCAGTAAATAAATGCAAAAAAGACAATGATTATATTTGTTTTCATAAAATGATATGGACTACCTAGTACATAAATTGCATTTACACAACTCTCAAAATTTAGTAGTTTATACATTCCACATAAACTCATTTTTTGACATTTATGCAGCATTGTGTCAACTATAATCTTTGGTTTCTTGAAGGCAAAATTGTACAATATATTAATTAATTTCTGTTTGAGGCTTTCAACTTCGTTCCGAAATAATGTTACTTTAATTCCTGAGAATGAAAATTTAGTTTTAGGTCAACTTGTATTAAGTTTTAGACATTTTATTTCTTGGTTTATTTAAAAAGTACAATGTGTGCTTTGAAATTCTTGTTATTATGAATGTTTGGATTTTTAAACCATTAATTGCATTTTTTTAGGATGATATTAAGATTCCATTGACATATTACATACTACCAAAAAATAGGGAACATTTAATTTTACAATATATTTCCTTACAACATATTTTCTGTACTATATGTTTATTCTGAATGATATAAGAAAATTTGTGTCACTGATTACAATCTCACCTTCTACCTCTTTTTTTGTTCTATGTTCATTTGCTTTTTGCTCGTCACAATTAAAACACATTTAATAATATCATTATTGTAGAAATGTGAATCACAAATAGATTTTTTCATTCAGTTCTTCAGTCTTTAATCTTATCACAACTTCAGATATGATTTCTTGTAGATGAAAGAAATGCTATATCCCTTAACAAGTAGACATATTTTTCAGCAGGTGCAATGGAGTATTTTCAAGTGTTATAATTACATACAAATACCATAAGCACCTAACCTTTCTGGACGGCCACATATTATATAATAAAAACTCAAATAAACAATGATGATGTAAGCTCTTAGTTGCAGGAACAACAGAAACATTTATTATTAACCCAACCCTAAATTAATATGCAAATAATACTCTTTGCACTACAGTACTAAAAAACCACAGATATGCAAGCTGTTCTTCTGAACTAGTACTGAAATCACAGGCAACTGGCAATCATCCTGCTGTAGTGACCACAGGGTGAAACAAACAATGCTATACACAAGGTATCGTTTAAAGCCCACCATAAATGCAACTTTCGTGCAATACAATTTCAAAAACCTGAATTTTCCAAAATTTATGAAGGCTAGAAAGTTTTCTCAATACGAGTAATTTGTCCATCGTTGCCGGCGTCGCCCCCTTAGGCCGGGCAAGGAGCCTCCCCTCGGGCGGAGCGAGGGGCGATGGACGCCGCCCCGCCCGTCCCCACTTCGCTACTCCCCTCGCATTCCACGATGTGCACGGGAAGCGAGTAGCCCTCGCCAGCATTGTTCCTTCAGACGCTGCTCACGCTCCTCGATGCCACAGTCGTGTTACTTCGTATTTCAATTGTAACACAACCTTTCTAAGAACTCGACTTCTGCCACTAGAAACATAATTCACGTTCGAAGCTGAACCCTTCTCACGAAAGGCACAAGGAAGGCTCCTGGCCACGCCTCCCCCTCCCCCTCGACAGCCCTCGTCCCCAGGAAACGACGATTTTCTAAGCTCTTTAGTTAATAAGCGGCCTGGCCTACTTCCAGACGGAAATTCTACGAAACGCAGACAAAGGGGATTAGAGTGATTCCGCGCGGCGGCGGCCATCTTCCCCTGCTGGGCGGTGCGTTCCGGCGCCGACCGGTCGGCTGGCGGGCTTTTCCCAAACCAGGTCTCTTCCACCCAAAGGGAAGCGCCGCAGCCGGGGCAAGGCCTGAGCTCGCGAGCGGGTCCCCACAGTGGTAGCGTGGTGCGTGTTGGCGCGTGCGCGGCCCGTGACACGCTTCTTAGCACACTGCCTCCGGCAATCGCCTTTTGCTGATCGGAGAAACCACGCAAAACCACCGAGCAGAGCAGCCGGCCGCTAGGCTTCTCCTCCAGACAGCGACTGAATTCCACCTGGCTGACAAGCTAGTGTCGAAAATGTAGCCACTGTCTGGACTTGAACTGGACTGAAGTGACATCAGTTGATCCACTGAGACTCCTCTTCCGGTTCCGGATTTGAGAATGGACGAAGATTCTAAAATTCTATTCACGTGACAACACCGGTAGCAAATCCGCGCTCTCCACGCCGTCACGAGTCTCTTGTTTCGAAATTACTTTGGACGCCAAACGATAAAACGGTCTGGGCTCGAGACTTCCAAGGCAGTAGCGCTTTGCATTAGGCGACATTGCACAACTTCACTTCATTGCTAGACTACTCACATTGACTTTATCTCCAGCACTTCATCGTTTAGAGCTGTCTTCGCTACAGCGACTTTGCTATGTTCAATTGTAGGAATTCCAAAGCTAAACACCTTCCTCCAAAGAAGTTACCGAGCTCCTGATGGAAATCTTCAGGTATTCTTAAAAAACTTAGAAATAATCTTAGATAAATTATCGAAGCAGGCATATTACTCTATCATAATTTGTGGTGATATAAGCATCAACTTCCAACCTACAGCTAATACTACTCATGAAAAGGACAGAATCAAACTAATAAACTTAGTATGCTCCTATAATCAAGATGCAGTAATTGACACACGAATTAGGCAATCCAAGAACACGCAAACAGCAATAGACAAAATAAAATATACACTATCATCACTAATGATAAGCAAACAAAGAAAACAAAGCATTGATAACAAAAGCTATACAAATTTCTTGTGAAAGGAAAAGAGAGCTTCATATACTCTCAAAACAACATTGAGGAACTGGAAAAATTCCTGGGTACAAGGATACATTAAATATGCGAGTTAATGGGCATATAATGGCGGGCGCACAAGTCTTTAATACTCAATCCGGAAATTCATCTAAACAAGACAAATATTAATTTTTTAGTCTACCGATTATTTTGAGCATTTCTTAGGAAGAAGTTACAGAAACAAGCTGCTGCGGCAGCAATTTTCAAAAAGTGTTGGTTAAAGAAACTAACCACTGTTAGTGGATCGTTCACATTTCTCTCGTTATCTTTTAAAACAACATTCTCTATAAGGTTGGTCTAGTTGATTTGGTCAATTTTTTTACTATATTCCACATTGCTTTTGTTTTATTATTTGAGTTCAAAATATCCTGATGTTTCTTGATTTTAGCCTGCTTTATGACTTTTCTTAACAATGATTTGGATTTTTTAAAGTAGAGGAGGAAATCTTGAAATATGTTATGATACTTAGAAATGAAAGAAATAATTTGTTTGTTTTTACATGATGACCTAATCCTTTAGGTTAAAAATAAAATTTTTCACATACAAATGAAGAATTTTTAGCATGGTAATGAATCAAGAAAGAAGAGGTTAGCTAATATATGGACATTTTGTTTTGTTTCATTTCTTTTTAATTTGTGTGTAGAAAAATGCTGAGAATGAAAACAGTTCTATGATTATCTTCAACTATTTATCAATATGTTAGGTGTATTCCCCTCAGGAACCACGCTACTTGAACCAATGCAGATCATTTAGTAGTTAGCACAGAGCATATCCGATTCTGAAAACATCCTTGTAAATCAAACCCAGAGAGGCCCTGCCCTGAAGGTGTTTCTAGCTCTACAATCCCACAAAGAAACTTACGCTGCTGTTGGAGATTGAGCAGGTAAGTTGGTGGACATTATCTATGGCCTACGTTTCAATATATGCAATTTTTAAACTAAGTGCTTATTTTTATTGGTTTCACTTCCTTAATAAAAACTATGGACAGTGGAGATTCTCAAAATATTAAGGATTATACCAAAATATTTCATTATCTACTTGGTTTAGTCACCCCTATTAATTCTATTCAGTTTTTATGTACAAGAAACCAGAAGGATCAAATAAGAGTTACAAAATTTTACAGAAATACAAAATATAAGAAAGATCTTTTGAATTTTCTCACAACATTTTGCATTGAATTATTAAATTATTTATTGAACAATAAATCATTTATTTTACCATTCCACAATTTCTTCTCAAAAGCAAGTTTTGCTTTCTCAAACAACTGAGTGTAATGATGTAAAGCTTTTTCATCTTTTAATTCAGAAGCAATATCTTTGGTACAGTGAAGTGCAGCCACCCACAAACTACAACAATAGGCACTGAAACATGGAATGTTTGAAATGAAACATGCATATCATATAGCTATATATTTTCCTAGGTCCTACGCATTAAAACATCAGCACACATCATACCTTGGACCTGTCATCACCCAGCTATCATACGTTTGATCTGGACTTCCTCCATTTTCTATTAAGCCATCATGATCTCTGTCCCATTTCTCAGCGACGTGCATTACAGTACAAATTTTTGGCCACATATCTTCAATGTACTGTTGCTTTTTAAAAAACTTCCAATCTCTGTAGCACTGAAGTACAAACTTGAGATTCAAATCTCTCCATTTTGAGACATCATGAATTGGATATGCATTTATTCGAATAAATGGATCTTCATCTTTAAAAAATAATAATAAAAAAAAAAATCAAGATACACTGATATTTAACTGTTCATAAGATATTAATGTTAAATGTATATAGCATAACACACATGGATCACCAAGATCATGAGGAACAGAGTTGGCAACTTTCCTATCTTCAATAGATCCATCATACAGCTCCCACTGTTTGGTTTTGTCACTTTTCAAAATGGAATCCATTAAATCGTATTGCAAAATTTCTTGGAGGCGAGGCCATAGTTTGGCAAGTGTGAAAGAAGCATAATAATGGACATCGTATGTGTTATACATCCGATATTCATGACCTTCTAAATATCCAAAGTGGCCATATTCATTCCTTAAAAGCATAATATATTGCAACCACAATAAAAAGCAAAGACATTGTATAAACATAGAAAATAGAAACTTATGATGTTTTATATATCGGTACCTTGGATCAGAAGGTTCAAGCTGATTAGCATCAAAAGGTGTTAACCAGATAGTACCACCATCAGAAACAAAGTACGTCTCATTGAAGAGAGCACTTTTATACCAGTCAGGCAAATCGCTACATCAAATGACACACGAAATTTAGCACTGGATATATCATATAACAGTATGAATTACAAATAGATTTACTTACAGGTCATCCAGAACAGAAGATTGCCATTTGTCAACCCATTCTATCCAATTCCTGAAATTGTCCAAAACATATTTGCACAAAACATCAGCTACTAGTCCATTATCACCAAAATAAGTAGTATAAAAGCTGTAAACAAACCAAAATTCAAACTTCACTCTTCATTACAGGAAATGTATGCCCAATAGAAACCTTTAATTAAGAACAAACCGTTTGTAAATATTAGAACTCTCAAAAAAGCGAATCTTTGGCATATCCCATGCAAGAGCAAATTCCGCTCTTGACGTAGCACCCGAAGGAACTTTCAACTTCACACACACAGCAGCTGCAGTTTCTTGACCCCGCTCTGCAAATAATTTGAAAGTCCAAAAATAATTATATGTTCTTTAGAGGAAAAGATGCCAAGCAGATGGCAAATTAATCAATTACTCACTGGTTTTAGGAGACTTCTTTTCTCCCTGACAAAGTTCTCCATCTTCTAACAAATCCTGCCATATTTTTTCTCCATTAGAACAAGGATCAAACCATGTCATTGTACTTACTGAAGAATTACTCTACAAATTAAGGAATAAACATTAATTAATCACATATAATTTCTTAACACAAACTAAACTTTAACGATTGTGTTAAAACAATATCCTCAACTAAAATGGTAAAGACAAAATATGAAACATTTGGGTACAAAAACTTTTTAAAAGGTTTACCTGATTCTTTGCACCAATTGCGTATGTACAAGATACATCATTTATTAACTGATGTATTTGTACTCCTGACACATCTGACCGTGAAAAGGATTCATTCCAGACTCCTCCTAAAAAAATTAGAGTTAATGTAGTAAGTACAAAATATTTGCTTAGCCTCGACCTCCAGTGATGGGTACTTTCATTTTGACAAATGTGTGTGCATGCAAGTTCATATTAAAAGAAATCTTAAAATCAAGCATTTCAGCACCATAGAGTCCCTTAAATCACCCGAAAGCATTTACTAGAATTTACAAGAATATTCTAAAAAGATCCAGCTAAAAATAGAACATAAATTCAACATGTCAAGAGCAAGTAAATGTAATCACCTCGTCCTTAACCGCTGCCCCCCAATGTTTTCTATAATTACTAAACAAATTTGGTTCAATTTAAAATTTACCCCTCCCCCCCCCCCCCCCCCCGCACCCGTGATCATTGAACCAAATTTGTTTATAAATTATAGAAAAACATTGGAAAGACAGCGGTTAAAATAAGAAAATAAGCAAAAAATACAAAAACAAACTACTGAAAAAGTCAAAAATAAGAGAGGTTCTTCTCCAGGCCCTACACCAAGGATGGAATCGCATAGCTGATGGGATAAATGTTTTTTGAAAGCCTTGGAAACACTATTGGTGTTCAACTAAAAATTTCAATAAATTAAGACACAGAATGCATCATACAGAATCACAGTTAACCAATAAAATTGTTAGGTTGTAATCGCACTTATAAACTAAATAGTTTTTATAGCATATGTTTTGCGACAATAGTCAAACCTATAACGGTTGGTATCAATGAACGATTTATCCATTTCCAAATTAATGATATACAATATATAACAGTTATATCAAGATTAATTAAGATAAAATAAAATTTTATAAGTCGTCTTATAGTCTATCATATATACCACAAGATCAATTTACTGAGATATATCTACACTTGTAGATTAAATATATTAAATAATTACTCGCAAAACATAAAAGAATATATTATCATTATTATTGGACAATTTTATAAACATAACCCAGTTCTTCTTACTTACTAAGCACCCATCGCATCACTCTGAATCTATTTAGAGTGTAATAAAGCACGATGAACATACACCATAAAATACACTGTAGAGTCGAATTACATGTTAGATAGCGCAACTCTATCGTACCACATTGCCATAGCCTTATCTGCTCATATCTAGTGGTGATCACTATATTCGCGATACAAAGAAATACATCGGTTGTAGAGGGAGAGTGGGAGCAGTCCAATGACTCTGAACTTATTAATTCCACATGCAGACTACATTCGGCGAACTAAACGCTACGTCGCGACCTTTGTCTAAAACACATTTTTTAATAAACAAATTCTTAAATGCTCTAGTGAAAGGGACAGTCATTTCACTAACGTCAATTAATCCCAATACCGCTCAAACAAACACTTGTTATGACTACTTGTGCTGAATACAAATATCTAAGTCCACTCTACAAAACACTATCTCATATGAATCGGTCCTAGTCCTCTACTATATCACATCTAAATTTAATGTTACAACTGGGTGGTAAACTTCAGCTTGACATGGATAACCAAGCTCACCCGAACTAACCCATATAAGCCATTCCTATTCTTTAGAATTGCGCGTCTAAACATGGCCATCCATTCACACACGATGAATATATATGATTATTCTCAGTCACTCTTTGTAAACGTAGGCATCTATTTTCAATGTATGTTTAGTTCCTGATTTGATATATAATGATCAATCAAAATCCTCTCAAGGTTTTCTTTAGTAATTATGGGCGAATTTTTTAGACGGGAAATGATCATTTGATTCAGGAATTGGTGATTTCGCTCGACCATTTTGGAAGAAAGTAGTTTGATATATCTGCCCCTTTTGAAGAACATGCTTTAGAAATAGTAACAGATTGTTGGAAGTAGAACGAATTATTATTTGCATTATTTAAAATAATAACAAATTTTATTCAATTTTCACGGTATTTAGCAAAACCAACAGCTTGTGCTCGAGTACATGCAAGTAACATACCAACGAAAACCAACATTGAATGTATTATCAAAGTCAACACAAAATGTACCATCAAGTAACAAAAATATCTTAACTCAAAACATACATAACATTTATTAGAAAACACGTTAATAACAAGAAAAAAATCTAAGCAAAAACTATTCATATTCAAATTTGTAAGAAATATAAAAAGGATGGAAATCTTGTTTTAATTAATGTATATATAAAGGAATTTTAATTGTTCTCATACTACAGTGTATCTTGAACTATACTTCTCCTTGGAGAATCTACCTTTGTGAGTATTACCAGCCTATAAACACTATGTTCATACATCATTATGGGTGGCAATTACGATTAATATAGTCTAGGGCTAACAACTTATAAATCGTTTAACCTGAACTTTGTTTGAATTACATTAAATTTCATTTCATGTAAAAATCTCATTTCGTCTTAAACCAGTTTCGATAGTCACGGCCCCTTTGAAAGAAGTTTATATTTTATGAATAAAATAGTGAAATCTATATTAATACAATGAATTTTAATACCTTTAAATCTTAAAATATTAGCCTGGACCCAGAATTTCTAATATTGCCCTTTACCGTAAACAATTCTTTCCATCCGAGAAATCCAACATTGACATTATGGAGAGCTTACTTATTTAGAGTCACCAGATCCAACAAGTTCTGTATGTTACTTATTGAAGCGAAGCCACTCCAGCCTTTTATAGTCTGTTACTGTACAGGATATAAGGACGAGGTGATTACATTTACTTGCTCTTGACATGTTGAATTTATGTTCTAATTTTTTAGGCCTGGATTCTTTTTAGATATCTTGCTTAAATTCTAGATAAATGCTTTCGTGTCGTTGATTTAAGGGACTCATATGGTGCTGAAAGGCTCTTGATTTTAAGATTTCTTTAATATGAAACTTGCATGCACACACATTTTGTTCAAAATGAAAGTACCCATCACTGGAGTCGAGGCTAAGCAAATATTTTAAGTGCGTAACGTACAAACTAATAACAACTCATGAATTTTTTAGGAGAGAAGAAATAGATCTGAGAATTGATAAAAATCTTATTATTGCTACAAAATAATACGTCAGATTGTCAGGAGTACAAATACGAATTCAGTGTTCAAAAAAAAATGATGTCTTATTCTTTCTTTTATTTGGGTGCGTGACATACGCAAATTGGTAGTTTTGCAAAGAAGGTCAGTGTAAAAACTTATTAAAAAAATTTTAAGTTATTTGGTTTATGATACCCATAAATAGTTAGAGTGTTTCCCATAAAAATTTTTGGTCTTTCACCTATTCTATAGTGCAGCGATATTAGTTTTAACACAATCGTATAAGTTCCATCAGAACCGTAGCTATTGGTGTGTAAGAGTACTGCATCATACTTTAATTAATATGTTGTGAAGACTTTGTACGTATATTAAATTGCTATCTCATTAGACAAGTGTGTAGAGTATAATCACTTACTAGTAAATACGTGTTATCAAATCACGGAATGACCAGGGTGTGATCTCTTGGTCTAATGGAGAAAAAATATGGAGTCGATTTAGTGCAAACAATGTGAAGCTTCGAGAACTTTGTCCAAAGCGGGAGAAAAAAAGTCTCCTAAAACAGGGAGTAATTGATTATTTGCCATCTGCTTCGGCATCTTTCCTCTAAAGACAATAATTATTTTTGGACTTTCAAATTATTTGCAGCGGGGTCAAGAAACTGCAGCTGCTGTGTTTAGTTAGTCGAGTTTGAAGTTTGAAATAAATATCCATTCGTGAGTGAGCCAGAATTTGGCTTTTAATTCGTTCAAAATATTGCGAAAATTCCATACAATCTCGACAACAAAAATGGAATAACAAATGTCCGAGAGGAAGAGATTACGTTCAGTTTTCCTGTTATGGGAACAAGTTCAATATTTAGCAAACGGAATTTTATTCTTAATATCAAAGAGTTTCTATTGGGAGCATACATTTCTGTATCCTCGAAGAGTGAACGTTTTGACAAATTTGTTGTTTTACAGGCTTTTTATACTACCTTATTTTTGAGTGAAATCGCTATAGTTAGCTGCTGTTTAGTGTGCAAATACCGTTTTGGACAATTTCAGGAATTGGATAGAATGGGTTGACAATGGCAATCTCTTGTTAACTGCGATGAACCGCTGTAAGTAAATCTATTTGTAATGTCATAGCTGTTATATGATATATCCAGTGCGATAAATTTCGGTTATAGATGAAATGTTTGAAGATCTGATCTGACTAATAACACCTGCAAATTGTGCACAATTATATTTCTGTGTTCAATGTTTCGATGTAGCGATTTCGCCCTGACTGTATAAAGTGCTCTCTTCAATTGAGACGTACTTTGGTTTCTGATGTCGGTACTTATTCTGGGTTAACATGCCTTTTGATGCTAAATCAGC